GGAAAAAGTCCACACGGTCTGGTCTGTCTGTCTTTCAGAGTGGAGGGTAGAGGCTCGTGAGTTACCGACAAAGGAGAAAGAGATGAAAAAACAATAGATTAAGATTAAAGTGGAGGCCAGTTAATCTGGGTGCCCCCAACAAAATCATTAGGTCCCAATGCCTATGGACTGTCGTCGAGGCTTACAACGCACACTCGCGCTCCATAGACTCTGCCTTGCCGCGTCCTCGTCCCTTCATTTTTTTGCTCGAGCCTCTTTCTTTTTCTGCCAACGGCCATTGGAATGAAGATATTTTTGTTCACACGTCACACCTCCTATTCCCTAGCTTGATTATATAATTACAATGTATGCTAAACATAGTGCTTACATGTGTAGTAGCTTACACATGTTTAGCTTATAAATAGATAATTTTTTTTTTTTTGTAATAAGTCTTCTTTTTATTCATTACAGTCGGTTTTTAAGCCTTGTTTAAATACTTGTTATAGATTCTCAATTAATCCAGGTATTCAACTCTCATTTACTCTTTTTCTGGTTCTTTCTTTCTTCTTTTATGAATGTCTTATTTTCTAATTGGTATCAAAGCATTATCAGAGCTAGAATCAAGGTTCACATCATTGGATTTCACTTTCTCGATTAGTTCATTTGATGTTCCTTGTTTCTCTCATTTTTTTTCACAATTTATGCTTCACCTATTATTTCTTTTCTTATTTAATTGAAACGTTAAATCGATCAATTCATCAACAAAAACTCAAATTTTACTCACTGAAAATCCTCTCTCACCATAATATATTCATCATTCTAACCTTCATCGATCGATAATGATAAATTCTAAGCTCATTACTACATGTGTAATCACTTTGTTTAACAATGTACTTGAACATTTAGTTCAATTGTTTCTAAATGCATATATGACTATTTATTGTTTAAAAAATCAAATTTTAATTTTTTTTATTAATTAAGTATTAATACAATAGTTCTAGAAATAGCTAATCTTAATAACAATTTAAAATTTGGATAATGAGAATGTTAAAAAGTAAATAGCGAGAAAATTAACGAGGGAGTTAGGTTTCTAAATATTAAGTCATACATGATTATCAATCTCATCATTTTTATAGATTTAAATTAATATCAAAGAATTCCATAAACAAAGTTCATTATTTAAAATACACAAATAACTAAGGTCTTGAGATGATCACAAATCTACACATTAGTAAACAAACATTAACTTTAAATTATGATTTGCAATCAGGGCCGGCCCTTGGGTAAGGCCACCCAAATGAGGGCTTTAGACCCCAAATTTGAAAAACCATCATATTTTTTTATAATAATATAGTTAATTATATTACAAATATATAAAATATTTATTTAAACCCTAATAAATATTTATTTTCTCACATTTCCACATCCTTATTAATTATAAACTAATTATCTCATTTTCTATTAAAAATTTATAAAAGTAAAAAATAATTAATAAAATGACACATTCTCTCACTTCTTTAATTATGTGTCTAGTAAATCTCAAATTTTTATCATTTTTTAATTTTTTGTTTTCAATTTATAATATCTACTCTTAAATTTTTCTTTCGTCACATACTTTTGTTTTCTTTAACTTGATATTTCCTTCAAAGAATATAGGAAGTTTATTATGTTTTTATCTTCGTAAAATTGTGAGTTTCATTTACGATTTACAATAAGCATTTACAATTAAGTACTATTATTCTAAATTTTATAGAGTTTTAATATAGAGTTTATATTATACTATTATATTCTCTTTATTTTATGTGATAGCTAATTTATTTGAATTAAATATTTTTATTATTGATTTTATAATAGCCATTTAAAAATATAAAATAATTATAATAGTTAAATATTTTTTATACTTCATAATAAATATTTGAATCTATTAAATTGAAAATATGAACTTAGTTATTTAAAGCTTTAAAAAAAATTTTAATTTCAATAAAAGAACCTCATTCGAATATTTGTTCTAAGCAAAGTTATTGAGTCACCATTGTAGGTGATCACATTAAATAAGATTCAAAACAAAAGAAAAAAGAAAACCAGTAACTTAATAACATAGATTAATTTTTATTATAATATAAAATTGATTTCTAAACACTGTAATTGAAAACTATCATATTTGTTAATGAAATTGAATCAAAACATTTCATATTAAACGATTGACCTCAATGATTGAATGAAATATTATATGAATATGTGACATTAGGTTTTAGTAAAGATTTTTTTTTTTTTGAGATAGTCTAAAAAAGAAATAGAAATGAGAGATTCAATGAAAAATAAAAGGAGTAAATGTTGGACCGTATCTAATATAAGCATACATTGAATCTCTAATCTATTGTTCAATGAATGCCGAACAAACGTAGACTACTCAGGGTACAATCAATGCAAAATAGCCGCAGTGCATGTTAGTGGGAGTCCCCTTTTGCATCCCAAAAATCTGTCTGTGGGATAAACGCACGCCGGACAGTGTCTGCCACTCTCGTGACTGACACGTAGGGAGGGCATCGCTATTGTATTTCTTTTTCGTTGAAACTTTTGCTTTCTCCACCCCATTATACCTTTCCCCTTCGGTAGATTCGAACTGGACTTAGTAAAATGACAAGAAGGCATAAGAAACCAATCGACTTCTTCTCGGCTAACCACGTGTTCGTTAAGCAGTAGCGAGTTTAGCGCTTTTGCGTACTCGAAATGATTGCTGGATGACAAGTCTTCCACATCGACGGCTGAGAGTTAAGTTCAAGTTCACACACGAAATTCGGATTAGCGCGTGGTAGGGAAAGGAGATACGGTGAGTTGGCAATTTAACAGCTCGCAGATTTTGTGGGCCCACGGGTTGTCTTTTCCCTGTTAACCGTTACAACCATCATCGCATGGCTCGTGATTCCAATGGGTACCATTTCCGTTCTTTCTCTTTTTTCTCTACAGAATCCTATGACGGAGGATCTGACGGCCGATGATGATGTGATAAATCGGAGAAATGATGCGAAAACTTTTCTTTTTTTCTTTTTTTGGTTTGTTCTGTGGTTTTGACGGTAAACGATCTGCTGACACCGCATTAATTGAGCGTTTGGGGATTTAACAATATTTTTTATTAAGGCGACGTGGATGGCACGAGGGCATTGAAGTGCTAGTGTGTGGGGTCGATTTGGTGAGTGGCAACTTCAACAAGATAAGGAGTTTTTACCTTTTATATTTACCCTTCCTTGGGGTCGATTTTCATTGTGATGAATTCGCTAGAAGCTTAGAATTTACTTGTCTGGGTTGAAGTTTTGCAACTCTTCTGAAGGTGGGTATTAGCCATTAAATTCACTTCTAAGTTAATTTAATAATCTTTTATGATTTTAACTTATTAATAATCTAGTTAAGCATGACTTTATACATGTTAACGAGTATTGTAGTGTAACTCATTTTACAAAACCTTAATTTTATTCGGATTTCGTATTTTACCTCTACAAGCTCTTTCTTGCCTTTTTTTTTGGAAAAACAAAAGATTATTCTTTAATTTAATACCCTTAATTGATTTAATAAAGAAAAATATTTGAGAATCCAAACCAAACTTAAGTAATAGATATATTAAATGGACACGAATTTAGATATATGGCTAAGAGTTGAAAAGTCATGAGACTCACATTCATTGCAAAAATCTTGGAAGTAGATTTTTTTTTGTACCTAACTTTTTAATTAGATTGGTAATACATAATAACCCTCTTTTAAGCTAGCATGCCTATTGGTATAAAAGATTAAGAATTTTGTACTACTAACTAATTGTACCATAAAACAAAAAAAAGAACTATGATTATTATCGAAATTTTAGAGTCATTATTATATTTTTAATATACACGAAATATCTCAACCTAACATATGAGATTTTTTTTATCATCACTCTATTATTTCTTTTCACGAATAAAATTACATATTATATGACAATCTATAACAAAAAAAAAATAACGTTCATTTTAATATCATGTTAAAATTTTATATAAATATTTAATTTTAAATTAATTAATAATAAATAAAAATCTTTATAAGATTTATGGATTTAAAATATTTCTAATTTAACAAATATGATATTTCTTGTATCAATTTTAATTTGTAAGTCCCATAACGATATTGATTCAAGTCATGTTCTTTAAGAGTGAGACCTCAAAAATTCGAAGAAAAGGATGCATTCCAAATCACTTGTCCACCAAACAAAACTAGGGAATGATGATCTTATCCTGGCATTGATAATGGTCCAACAGAGAGAATACTACGTAACATTGAGCCCGTCGAAATCTTGAAACACGATATTAATTAGAGATAATGATAAAATAATATTATATTATTTGATCCATTTTTTTTCATTTATTTTTGTTGCCACAAAATTATTGGACTAGTTGATACTTATCCCATCAGAGTGTCAAATTGAAGTGGATGGTTACAATATACAGTACTATAATTCTTTAAAGAATAATTCGTGGGGTTTGGTCAATGTGCTGATACGTATCATCTCAACACGTACATATGCTCTAAAAAAAAAAAGGAAAACTATAATGATTTTGTCCACTGTGGTGAGCAGTGATGGAGAAGTCTGGCACAAGGGGTTTCAAACAAAGATAAAGTGAAAAAAGAGAGGAAATAGCTAATGGCTGCAAGGATATCTACGAAAGTGATGCTGGCAAAGGCTAACTCGCAGGTTTTTATCACTCTGTGTTGAACATGTTAGCCAAAGTAGCCCTGTTAACTTATCAATCTTTTTTCTTTTCAGATCTTATGATAAAACAATAATCTTGAATGTATTAGTACATTGAGGCAGTATTAAATCCGATCCCCATAGTTTTTTTGCCTATTTCATTTTTTGGGGGAGACGGCAGAGCGAGGTAATGCTTTTCCAAAAGTTGGTGATAACTCTAATGAAAAGCAAAGTTGTGAGGTGCTATAGCAGCTCCCAACGCTTTGATATATCTCCTTGGATCCTGTTAGGTTGTAGTCGAAAAGCAAAGGAACGAGCGGCTGCAAAGAGGGCCTGCCAAATCCATCAAAGTGATGGATCCTTAATACTGTAGCCTTTTTGCAGCGAATTAAAGAAAGAGACTTTGCATATGCATCAGTTCCACAAAGTGGTAATGATGATTTTGTGGAACTGATGACGATGAAGATTAATGGAGGGCAGAATTCCAAGCATTTCTAGAGTTTGGTCCACACCTCGCCTCCATCACCTACACCAAAACACCTGCCGTCGCAAACTTTTCCAGCTAATTTTATTTTTACCTTTTCTTAGCTAAATATTTTCTCCTTGTACGATTCAAAATTGTATGATATCGATAGATTTGCGATTGAATGAGGAAGCTTTCTTCAAGATTGGGTTGGTACGTAGAGATCTTTCCATGTATGACAGCTCCTTAGACCAGACTATAGGGGTAGTGCTTTAGGCCTTTTTAATCAGCTTGGTCAAATATTTACACTCCCACCACGCCTGTTAGGCATCGGCATGTAACAAAGCATTGAAAGATTTCTTAGGTAAAGTGATTCGATATAGATTTATGGAGTATGGGTGGATGGAGACTTGAAAAGATGTGGGATGACACATGATCGATGGACACAAACCATGGCGAACGTGGGGTATATATCTTCAACATCCTAGCACTTAGAGAGGACCAGGAAATTGGAAATCATCCTGGCTATTGTTTTTGGGGCACCAAAATAATTTAACTGATAGATATGTACCTTGGCTATATATCAACGAGATTAGCCAAGCCATACGTCCCCCCCTACCATATTTCTTTTTGCCCATCAATCTCTTTATCTCTGTACCAAATCCATGAGAGAAAGGGATAGGGGTTAACAGTTTTATAGTGGGAGGGGAGGTGCCACACTAGTGAAAACTAGGGGGCACCACCACTACAATTAGGAATTAATGCCAGGTGTCACAATCGTTGTGCCCCATAGCGACGCTTTCTTTTATCTTTTGGGCGACTTTTAAAATGGGGCAAAGAAACAAAACTAAACATATAAAATATTGTTGTAACTAAGTCCATGCCGTGGCCTGGAGCCATCCCCAGTGGCAAGCTCCCTTCATCTTTTCTCTTTGTTTTGGGGTGACTGGGATAATTCAGGCAAAACTTATCATTCCCTTTTTGATAATTACTTATATTCATGATAGTGAATCCAAATTATTTGTGGTTCACTGTCCTTATTTGTAATTCCCTCTCATCTTTTCTCATGAATTATGATTCATGAACTTGGGGGCCATGAAAGAAGGGGAACTGATATCTGTCGTTTAACTTTAAACCTTCATTTGTGCAGCCTCCATCATTAGGGCAGATAAATTCTAGCCCTTTTTGTGTTGCAAGTCCATAGACATGATCATATAAAAACGCTGAAATTTGATCTAACTCTTTCGGGGATGGAAGCAACTCCTTAGTAGAGGTCAAAAGCACATCAGACAAGATCAACCAGTTCATTGACTTATTCAACGAAACCATCAATCTTATTCCTCTCTTCATTTTGAGATACGAGGACCAGAAAAATAAGATAGCCGTTTTTATTTATTTATTTATTTTTTGGGTGGATGTATCTTTACATTTCGAAAAACATTGAAGCTGATTATTATATATTTTCATTTTAAAAATAATTATAAGCAGTTTTTAAATTTATAATTTTATAACACGTAAGTTGTACTAGTATGATTATATTAAAACCGTGATTTTATAAACTTTAATCATAAATCTTACAATTTTATATATGACATGAATACTATACGAAATATAAGTGAGTTTTGATTTCTAGAAGAATTGTATCCCCAAAAATATGCAAATTTTATATTTTAAACATATTTAATATATTTAAGACAAGTTTAATTAATCATGTGTTATATATCTTGTGACCCGTTAATTTTTATTTTGATTAATAGTGTATACGTGTTTACTTAACACAATATGACTTGTTTTACATATAAATACTTTATTTTATTATGGTTAATGATGATGGTAGTGGATTTATTATATTTGATGAATATTATTATTTTATTATAATTATTTTTATGTAGATTAATTTTAAATTTGAATAATGAGAATGTATTTTATTTGTAACTAGTAGATACATTTTATTTTAATTGTGTTTAAAATTTTAATCTTATTAATTGTTTAAACAAGTTATAAATCGTATCTTGTTATATAAAATTTAATTAAACTCTTTTAATAAACGCATTAAGTATGTCGTGTTGTCTTATATATTTAGTAAAATATATCTATATTCATATTTAAGATCTTCACATATTTAATTAATCTTATTGTGTTTGTATTTATTGTCTAACTCATAATAATATGTTGTTTTTCTTCAGCCATATAACTCCATTTAATTTGTCTTTTTTTTTTTAAAAAAAAAACTCCATATAACTCATAAAGAAAAAACGACGAAGAGCAGAGGCCAGCCCAATCATTTTAGAGGAGAGATCGTTAGATCACAAGTAATAACATTTTTGGACAGTGACGATGAAGTTTGGGCCTTTTTTGGATTTTGTCTGCATCCATATGGTCCATATAACCAACGAAAAGAATCATTTCCCTCCTCCTCCTCTTCCCGCCTTCGTGGCGCCACTACGATATTTTTTCAAATCCCGCTCCATTTTCCCGAGAAAAAGGAGCGAGAAACTGGAGAGGGAAATAGGAAGAAAAAAGAAAAAAACGAGAGCCACGAAGCAGACGGAGAGAGAAACCGGAGAAATGATCGGCGATAGCTCTTTTTCCAAAACCATATGCTCCATCTGCTACGAAGATCTCAAGCCAATCGTCGAAGATCTCCAATCCATCTCCATTTGCGGCCACGTCTTCCACGAGCTCTGGTCAGTGTTTACGCACCGACATATTAATCACTAATATTCAAACGATATTTTTCTGAAACGGCGTGTTTTCTTTTCTGGAACCGTAGTTTACAACAGTGGTTTGAGTACTGTACGAATTCTACAAAGAAGTACAATTGTCCTGTTTGCAAGCAGCGTTGTGTAGGGCACAATGCGACTCGTCTTTATTTTCAATCAGTTGGGGATCAATCCAATTCGTTATGCTCCCAAAATTTGATTGATCGCGAAGAAGATGCGGAGGCATTACGTTGCGAAGTGAAGAGATTGCTTGTGAAAGTATCGGGGCTTAGTTCAGCCTTAGAGCGTAAAGAAAAGGAGCATCAAGAAATCAACGAAGAGGTAATTTTGGTTTAATATTTTTTTTCTGGAATTAGGAGAAAAAATTCAATGGTATTATAAATTAAATTGGGATTTGAATTGAAATTTTCGATTTATCCACTTTCAATTTCTCTAATCCCCTGCATTTTGGAGTTTTAGTTGTGTCTTTGCAAGGAGCTGATAAAGGAGGAAGCGGCGTTGAAGAGTGAAGCCTTAAGAGAAAAGGCATTCATTCAACAAAAGCTCAATTCGAAGTCTGAGGTAGTACTATCATATATACAATTGGGAAAATTATCTTCTTTTACAATTCATTTTAATGAAATTTTTTTCCTTTTTTGGATGCAATTGTGCAGGAGCTTACTATATCGAATTCGGAATGTTCAAGGCTGGAGCAAAGGAATATGGCACTAGCCAAGGAACTCGCTGTACTTAAATTGTGAGTACATAGTAGTCTTTTTGTTACTTGGATTGTAATTTATAATATTCCTTGCTGTTTGCATGGTTTATGCTAGGGTGTCGGATCTGGACCTAGAGCAAGATGAGATTTTAAAGCTTGCCTCACTGGGTAATGAAGCCAACAGCCATGATACAATAGATAATCTTATTCGATCATTGGCCAGCCATAAAAAGTAAGTTGATTACTGGCCTGAATTTTAATAGTCTACATGCTTATCTTTTCGATCAATATTGTTGGAGTATAGCTATGTGTTCTGGATTTGACGAATTTTACAGGCTCAGCTTTTTACTGGGTTAACTTGCTGAAGAGTTAGGATTTATCATTGCATATTGGAAGTTAATACTGCTCATCAATGATGCTCAGTTGGCTATCCACTCCTGATCTGGATAACTTTAATTTTTCCTCCTTACATTGGAGGATAAAATTATCATACCTTGATCCATCTCAAGTGCTCATATATGCATTGGGTCATTGGATGGTAGTAGACTATAGTAGTTGAAGGAAAAAAAAAGAGGTTTTAGGATAACATATCTGCTCATCTCTCTCATGGTATCTAATGCAAAGGCACAGGATAAGCAAAGGCAAAAGGATTTATAGTGGTATTGTTTTTCTCCTCATGTTCTCCCTTGGGGTATGATATTGGAGCACTAATCTTTTTTCATAATAAGTTAGATTGCTGTAGTTGTTTTTTCCATTTCATTTTTTAAGCATTATTGATGGTTCGATCTATTGTATTTACTTGTGCACTTTAATCTTTGACAATGCTCAAACTTCAACAGGAGCTACAAAGAATTGATGGCCAAGTGCAATCTTCTTGGTAGAGGTGAATCTCGTTTGCAGAAGAAACTTGAGAGAGCAAAAGAGAAGATAGGCAAACTGAAAGTGAGTCTGATATGAAGCATTATATGTATCTTGTTCCATGAGTGCTGTAATGTTGCTGAAAAGTTCTTTTTTTTTGTGGTTTCATCAGACAAGAATCCAGGAACTGGAGACATCTATTGAAGTGAAAGATAATGAAGATTTGAGGGCTCTTAAAGCTACAAAGAAGACTGATCGAAGGGCTATTGTAGATGATAATTCTAAGACTTTGATTGCCAAAAATTCTTCAACAGAACATCAGATGCAACAACCCATTTTACCTTTAAATAACTTGGATTTGAGTGGAAGATCACCCAAAGAATCATCATGTTTGATGAAAGAAAACATCCATTTTGGTAGTCCTATAGTTGCAAATCATACTAGAGAAGGTTCAAGTACTGTGGTTCTTGATGAAGAGAGAAATCCTTTAATGGGTGAGAATGCATATAGGCATTCAAGTCCTGATTTGAAATGTCGAAATGGTGAGAATATTGTTCAAGAGTCTGCTCCATCAATGTCAAAGGCAGTTTCTGATGTTAATGGAGAAGCTGCAGCCTGCAGGCCAGATAGCCTGGTTGGATTTTCAGGATCAAGAACTTGTTCAAGTACTGATAAGAGTGCCACTCTTGCTGCTGCAACAAAGCCCATGTTCAACATTAAAACAGAGACTTCATCTTCACTTCCACTTTCTGAACAAGGTATTTTTGAGATTGATCAGTAGATTTCTAGGGTGTTGATTAAGCCAAAGTATAACAACTAACAAGCGCATTTATCTTCTCTGTTTAATTTGGAAGTGCCTTCCACATTGTCCTTTCTCAACAGAAAATTTGTATTTGGCATTCTTACATTGGTTTTTTTTGGAACATTTGAATATCTCCAGGGAATATTTGTTTCTCTGGTGGATTGCTAGGTCCTGATGGAACAAAGTGGCATTTAGGAAAATGGTGCAAGCGTGGCAAGATGCTCGGATCAATGCCCACACAAGGTTTAACCAAAAGTAGTGGTGATTTAATTGCTGTTGGTGCTGATGGGAGAGGTGGTAGAATCAAAGTTATGCGATCTGTGAATCATTCATTGGTGGGTTCAAAATCTAGTTCTTCATTCATTTTACTTAGTTGAAAAGCATACATCAGTTTACAGTAGCTACTTTAACTTGATGATAAAACTTTATCTTTGATAATACTACTGACAATTTCACCCTTGATATGGTAAAGTAGAATATTTTAAAAGATATAGTAGCATTAGGATCGATCATGCATGTTTATCCCAAGCGTGGTGTTAGGGTGGTTCTTTACCTGTTTATATACTGTCCATGACATCTGAATCATCCATTGATGCAGGATGATAAGCAGAATTCACTTAGTGCGAAGAGATTAAAATATGGAGCTAAAACAAATAGTTTGCAGTCTCAGGGGTGCTTGCAGATAGAACACTTCTTTGGAAAGAGCCGTTTTTGATTGAAAGTTGAAGGCACAGCCCATGGTAGGTCTTTGAAGACTCCTATTCAATTTGTATGACCGGTAAAAGAAGCAGTTAGTTTGCAGCTTTGCTAACTGACGTTATGGAGTTCACCACCCATATATTGCAGGGTTAACTGCCCTCTACACTCTAATGAGGTGGCGCAGTGATTATAATTTATTTAAACAGCCGTGTAAAGTGGGGTGTCAAGTAACATATTTTGTCGGATTCCTTTGGTGTAAACATAACAGAGTTTGTTAATTCATTACTAGCATTTAACCTCTAGACAGGTTCATGATCGAATAGTTATTAGTCTTTTAATGCTTGTTGAATTTTAGAACAGGTATCTAATCTAAAAGCAATTGGCAAGATGTGGAGAGACGTGCTATAGTTATATGCTTAACATACTCCTAACTTAAGGGATGTGAGATTTTTTTATCACCGCTTTAATAATACTTATTAATTCTGAAGGGTAGATTATGAATTAGCTAAAGGTGATCCTTGTTTCTCGTAAATCATAATAAGGTTGCAGAGGAGACTGCACACTTTTTTTCTTGGGGTGTGCAAAATATGGACGTAGATAAAACAACATGCTTTGTTAAAGGACGAAAGGAGGAAAACTTATGCACTATTTGCTATGTTTTGGCGCAGCGTGAATTTGTACAGGGGAGTGATGCATGCAACGAGGAAGAAGAGAGTTTGCTCGTGAGTTAATATAAGCCAGTTCAATTTTGCTTGAGTTTTATCAAAATAACGTAGGCTAAATACGACTACATCCGTTTATTCTTTTGAATCTTTTCCTGTTGAATGACTGCCCTACACGACATGAGAAAAATGTGGGCTCTGGCTAGTGGGCTATTAATGAAAATGCTATTTTACTTCTTATGCTGTCATTTGTCTTGGCTTCCCAAGTTTGACGAGTGAGGCCCGGATGGATAGATTGAAACAGGAGTTACGAAGTTGGGGGAGAATTTATTGATTCTTTATGCAAGAATTTCGATGGCTTCATTTAAGGTAACGTTTTCTAACAAAACTGGTTGGCCTAGGTCATAAAACATTGTCAATTTACTGTCTTTCCTTGGGGGCTTTGAAAGTCTATTAAACATGTGTTGCTGACTTTTTCTCTGCTTTCGACCTGCACGAATAATCTTACCTCATGATGCCAACCGATTTATTGCAAGTTTAGATAACAATTTGATGAAGTTATGTCTTTAGATTAGAGACCACATAATTTTATTAGAAGATTGACATTTCCAGAACAAATACCAGCTAGGAATCAAAAAGGGCCCCAAGGGCTGAGTAAAAGTAGGAAGGAAGAAACGTTCATAGAGATAGTTCCTTGAAAAATAATTGAAGAATGTAGAAGCTACTGACTGCTCTTTATATGCTCTGCTGAAAATGAAGTGACGGTGACTGAGACATCTAACTGCCTAGGAGACCTAGACGGACGATTTCAAGGTGGTTGAGTCTTTCCACGCTATTCATCATATACTTATGGCTGCCCCTAGATTTCCGCCCAATGGTCTGATGGGATCACTTACCATGGTTGTGGAGTTTATTGTATTTGCACTAGGATTTTTTGGTGGACTAACTTTGCCAATTCATGTTGTTTGGAGGTTGTGACTGTTCACTTGTATGGCATTTGTTTTTTAAGTTTCATGCCATTCATCATGTGAACAATTAATGCAATAGTAAGTATATTTGAGTGCCTAGATTATGTGTAGGTTGTTAAAGCATTCTAGAAAATGTTTTTTTTTTGTAACTTTAAAAAACATATTTATTGGAAATAGAGATTCCTTTAAGCATTTCAAAGATAGTTATTATCATTTATTTTGTTTTAAATGGAAGGCATAATATTTAATAAAGTTTTTGAATTATTTAATTTTTTATTATGTTAAATTAAGTTTTAATATTTTTTAAGAATTTATTATTAATAATTAATTTATTATTATTAGTTAAAATATTACTTATTATAATACCTAGTGATATTTATGTGATATAATGATATGGTCATGAAATATTTTCATTTTTTATGTTATCATAATGTTAACATCACGTAAGTATAATAATATTAAGTATTATTTTGATTAATGATAATTAATTAATTATTAATTATAAAAATTTATTTGATTAGAATAAAAGTATAAAATTTGATTGAATATAATAAAAAATAAAAATTTATTTAAATTTTAGAATAATTTAAGAAATTTTTTTAATTTTATATCTAAATTAAATACTTATTTTCATAAAAAAAATGAATCCGTGTTTCTCCAAAATAAAAGTCTTAAACGAACATGATTCTTACCATTCAATATGTTTAAAAATAATTGAATAATTTTTTTATTTTGGTATAAAATATTGTTAATCATTTATATTATAAAAGTTTTTAAATTGAAATACTTTTGTTTCAAGTAGGATCAGGTGAGTATAATAATATATAAACGAAGAAAAAGAGAAACGAAGTACAAATAAATTATAGTGAAGAGATTCACCTTTATTTTTTTGTTTTCTTTCTTTAGCTCGGACTTTAGATTCAAGCCATGGCCGGCAGTCCCAGCCGGTGCGATTTCGTGTGGTGTAAAAACGTTTGTTCAATAGGTCCAATAGTTTCCATTGCGCACGTGTTTTCTCACAAACGGCTGAACTCGTGTCACTTCCCGATAGCTTAAGCTGTTCAACTAAGGATTTCCTATTATATATTTTATGTGGTATATATATGGAAAAGAAAGGATAAGGAAAGAACAACAAAAATAAATGGAGGAGAACCGGACAGGCGGGTCTAAGTGAACAGCCAAAAACAAATCTCAGCTAGACTAACACAGAAAAAGTCAACAATCACCAAAAGTAGTTGACCCATTTTGGTTAATCAATTACTTGATTTTCTCTTATTAAGTCATGTTAAGCAACTCTGTTACTTAATTAGTTAAATCTTTAAAAACATATTTTTATTTAATCCATTTATTAAAATTTCTGTAATTATATAAGAATATACCTAGATATGCAATACAATTCAATGTATATTTTTTTTCGTTGCATTATATTCGCATTTTATGGTAGTGTAAAATAGGTTTCTTCATTGTCATAAATCATTTTACAATTAAAAAATTATTTTAGTTGACGTCAGGTGCAAAGCTAGAGCATTTTTGAAGGGAGGCTAAATAGAAAGAAACATTAAACAATTTTAATTATCACTCATTTAAAAGATTAAATAAAATTCACAAGATATTAAATATGCAAAAAAACATACATTAACAACAATGATGGTGTTATATATATATATATATATATATATATGATTGAATGGAATCATGAAATGAGTCTCTCTCATTCTCTGCACATAAAAATAAAAAAAAAACTAATTTTTTAAATTCAAATGAATCGTGTCTTTACCTTGTGTGTTCTAGCTCTCCTTTTATTTTCTATTTACCTCTTAAATTGCTAATTAACAGATTGAATTATCGGGTAAAACTACTGATATATAATATGTTATTTTAGTCTATTAGGTTGGACTGTTAAGATATAATATACTATTATAAGTTTAGATTTATATTAAAACTTAATGGGTTATTATTAGCAGACTCACTTTTATATTTTTTTTAATTTGATAGACTTAACATATTATTTTAGAATATATTTGTTGGGCTTGACTAGCAATATGCTAACTATAATGATTTTAATTTTATCAAACAGTTTGAAAAATAAAAATAATTATTAAATAAAAAAAATATTTTGAGAGCCATTAAAAATATATAATAAATAAAATTGTTTTAAAAGAAATGTAATTATTTTATTCTACCAATTTATATATATATATATCCTTGTTATTTAAATTTTGCAACATACATGCTAGAATGCATTGGTTATTCTAAATAAAAAAATGATATATTGATGAAATTCTACACTATAACTTATATTTAAGAATTATATAATAATTTATTTATTTTTAAAGATTAAAATCATAAAAAATAAAATCTACATAACAGAAAAAAAGAGAACATGACAAGTGGAAGATAGAATCCACATATGATATAATAAAAAAGAAAGAAAAAGAATATGATTGATGGTTCATAGCAATTTATGAAAAAAAATCTATAGAGATTTAAAATATATGATTAAATAGAATAAAAATAAAAAAATAAAACAAATTAAAAAGAAAAAAACAAAAACAACATTAAAATTGAGTCACTCATATGAAATTATTTAATTTGTTATTGTTTATTTGTATTAATTATTAAATAAACCATTATTTTGGTAGGCTATTAAGATAATTTATTAAAAAATTTAAAAAATTTATATAATATGTCAAAAAAATTTTAAATTTTGGGGGGCCATACATAAGGCGGACATAGATCATACAAAAAATATTATAATTACAATAATTTAATAATGAAAAAAAATAAAACTAATTTAAAGGTGAAAAAAATCAACAATAGCTAGCCAAATTGCTGTCCGTACAAACTAGTCGAGTTCAATTCAACACTCTAAGGAAAGTATAGTAGCTGATTTGAAGTATATATAATAACCGTATTGTCGTATTCTTGTAATTATGTGAACTGTATCAATGAAAAGAAATATTAAAAGAAAACCGAAGCATTAAATTTTTCTTTATAGTATTAGAGTAGTTAAGTAAAATGTCTGCTAGAGCTGGACGGGAGAAATATTATTTGGTTTATAAATCTTTAACGATATGGTCAAGCTGGCCCATTGATTACGTATGGACAGACTGACTCAATGGGTTTGAACAGTTGCCTGCTTTACTCCCAAGGAAAGTTGACTCATTCTCTTTGGGATCACGCTTGGGAAAGTCAAAACTAAAACTTTCCCACCAGGAATTTTTTCTTGATCTTATCACAAAAGGAAAAAAAAAATTGTGGACTTTAAACCTAATATCAAAGCTTATTTGACTTTAATTCTCGAAGAATAAACTGTCTTAGAAGAAATTAAAAAAAAAAAAAAGAAAGACCATATCAATGTCGGAACTTGTCTGCATAAGAAAATGGGTTCCTACTACCATGTTTAGATCTGAAAGTTGATGCTGCAAAGTTGCTCCGACATGTGACCAACCAAGACAGCTTTCCTGGTTTGGGCTCCATACAAAGGAAAGTGGAGTTTTTTTTTTGGGGGGGTTTTATGTATGGAGTCAAAGGAAATCTTTTGCCTCCTTTAAAGTAAAATTTGAAGATTAAAGTACATTGTAAATAAAAATAAATTAATGATGTAGAGGAAAATAATCAACCATTTTCACCAAACACCCAATCTTTTAAAAGTGGGACACTT